GTGTCTCCAAACAGCTCATGGATGTTTCATGGCAGGGGTGTCCAATCCTGGTCCTCGAGGTCCACAATCCTGCATGTTCTAGATGTTTCCCTCTTCCAACACACCTGATTCACATGATCAGCTCATCATCAAGCCTGATAACGATCCTGATCATTTGAATCAGGTGTGTTGGAAGAGGGGAACGTCTAGAACATGCAGGATTGTGGCCCTCAAGGACCAGGATTGCCCACCCCTGTCTTATGGTGTCTGCCAGCAGGACGTTAGCAGCTCATCCTTTGGCTCCTGTGTACATGTCAAAGTAACGCTCACATGAATGCCTGGATCTGTTGCATCATAATGACTTAATCAAAGTTATATGCCTGTTAGTGGTTTTAATGTTGTGGCTGACCAGTGTGTGCGTGGGTCAAGCATAGACTAGCTTAGCTACAAAATAATGCTCATATGAAAGAATGTGCAGATCAAGTGATGTAGGTGAAATGTAGTAGTTTTATCTGCAGTCGTCCTCAAATGTATTCACACCCTTCCATTAAAGAAAAGGCAAAATTCACAATAGTCACTCAAATAACTAGAAACTGAAAAAATGATAATAATAATAAATAAAAATTTGCTAAATTATAATTTAGTGAAATAGCACATTGCTTTGAATTGTGGTTGAAAAGAATAATTAAAAAAAAAAAAAACTATCCAGGACAAATTGGAGCACTTTGCTGATGAGCAGTGAAATCAAAATACCTGTCAACAGGTGCAGAAGTTACAGAAAACATTTGATTGCAGTGATTGGCTCAAAGGGTTGTTTAACAAATTATTAATTTATGGGTCCCATCACGCTTGTTTGTTTTTAATATTTCTGTTGAGCCACAATTCAAAAGCAATGTCATGATTTTCATGAAATTTTTATTTATTATTACTTTGGTCAATTTCAGCTTATTTCAGTAACAGCTGTTTTTTTTCCTCTTTAATAGGAGGGTATGAATGCGTTAGAGGATTATTATGTTGCCTCTTCACTGTGAACTTGAGGGTTCTTGCAGCTACCACCTGAGCAACCTGCCAAGTGTAAAGCTGGTACTAAAAAATGGATTTCACAACATTAGGGACACGTATTGCACATTGAGCGACTTTTCCCGAGCCATAATTGTGCTTCCATCTGGAAATAGTTCCCTGCATGTGTCACCAACGCATCTACACATCCACGTCCTCAACAGCGAGCTCAATCGTAGCTCCCAACGATGTGATTGACTGGCAGTTCTATGTTAGTGGGTTATGACTTCCTAAAGCAGTTAACTCAGTGGTTTCAGACGGGCTGTCACCAGGGAAGCCGTATTACATACAAAAAGGTCTTTAAAACAACAAACAAAATAGACTTCATGCTGCATGACGTGCTTTTAGATACAGAAGCAGGCAGTCTAGTTCTGATTCACAAAGTGCACAAGGTACAGTTTATTTATCTTCACAATAAGCTGTCCATTTTTACACCACTGTGTGTTAAATATGTCTGATGATGCAACAGCACATTTTAAAACAAAAGAAAAGCGATGATGCTCATGGTTTTCGTTAGAATTTTTTTTTTTTTTCCCTTTGCTGCTTGTTAAGTCTTTGCGATGCACGATACAGAGTCCTGGCGCTCCTTTCCGACCCTGGAAATTAAGATTTGATTGAAAATAAAGAAAAACTTTTTCCTAACCACTGCACCACCCCCCTCCTCAGCTGTGTGGTTGTTTTTACAGTATTTGATGTATTTTTGCTGACATGGTGCTTTTTATGGGAGCAGTGTTTTCACCTACTGCTGTGTGCATGATTTAAATTGCTCCTTCGGGCGATGTAACCTGCCATTATAATATTCCCCAAAAATGTTATTGTTCTTCCTGCATAGCAATGACAAGAAGAACACATCAAGGCTGTGCGATGGATAACCTGTGGGCTGTGAGTGAATGAATGAATGAATGAATGAATGAATGAATGAATGAGGGCTGCAGGGTGGCGCAGTTGGTTAGCACTGTCGCCTCGCAGCAAGAAGGTCGCCGGTTCGCGTCTCGGTGGGGGCACCGGAATCTTTCTGCGGAGTCTCCATGTTCTCCCCGTGCAGTGTGGGTTCTCTCCGGGTTCTCCAGCTTCCTCCCACACAGTCCAAGAACATGTTGAGGGTAATTGGTGATTCTAAATTGTCCGTAGGTGTGAATGTGAGTGTGCTTGGTTGTCTGTCTCTAAGTGTAGCCCTGTGATAGACTGGTGACCTGTCCAGGGTGTCCCCTGCCTTCACCCTGAGTCGGCTGGGATAGACTCCAGCCCCCCATGACCCTAGTGAGGATTAAGTGGTGTATAGATGATGGATGAATGAATGAATGAATGAATGAATGAAAGCCAGTGAGTCAGAGTAGCCACACTCATATGTGAATGAAACTTGGCAAACGATCTAATGTAATATGAACAGACTGGGTCACTACTGTGGAGGAGGATTTCGTCCCACTTGCCAATCTTTTCCAGGCCTTGCCGTGTGTGTGTGTGTGTGTGTGTGCGGCGTACACACAAGCCTGCGCGATGAATGGAAAACGCAAAACAGACCTGCCTACTATTAAGTGGTTTCTACTAAAAGTAAGAGGTAATGATTGCACAGATGGTTGAAATAAAATTATCCACACTCATGTCTTTCCGTCCACGGAGGCTTTTCCGCAGTATTTTGTTCAAGCTGGGAAGATGACAGGGAGTTTTTTGACTAAGTCAGGAAGAAAGAGAATCACGGTATCTAAAGAAGGAGACATGAAAGAGGGGCAGAGATTAAAGTTTGGATCTTTTTTTTTTTTTTTCATATTGCCAAAAAGACAAAATCAGGGCAATTTTGGAAATGTTTTTAAGCTTCTGCTATAAAATGTGAGCCTGTCTTACCTATTTAATTAAAACATGGGTGTACATTAAGCTCTGGCAGTTCACTTTAATAAGTCACGTCACTATCACAGCTTCATAGACCAACTCATATTCATGTAGTAGAGTTTAAAGATTTGCTGAAATAGGATTCTTTTGACTTCCGTTTTAATTGTAGATATTATCGATACACACTATTGATATGTGATGGTTTCTTTGTCAGTTTAATGGCAAATTATTGGTCTCGCAAGTAACGCAGATTGTGTGCAGTCGCGCCAGTTCTGCACAGAGCTTTGGCTTTGAAATCTGATGTATGACAGACTGTCATCTTTCTGATTATTCTCAGAATATTTAGTCGATTGTCAGCGTGTCAGGATGAAAATGAATGCTTTTTCGGTCTTTGAACAAGTGTGCAATTGTGTGTGTTTGTTAAAGAGAGAGAGAGATAGCAGGAGGGAGGAAATATTAAGAGTTTATTAAGAGAAGACCAAAGCAGATAAATCATTATAAAGCCTTAATTTGCCAGACCTCTGTTGAGCAGGCAATAAAAAACACACATCAGATCCAGCTGATCACTGACAAAAACCATCCCCGAGCCTCTTCAAGGCATTATCCGAGGTATTATGCGGGACACACAAGCGGCACTCGCACACGCTCACAAACACAACCTCGGTGCTCTTCCCACTCGTGTGTACATTGGCTGCCGGAGCTGTCTTTGTATCGCATCACCATAACAACTGCCTCACTGAACATCTGAGAAGAGAAAAAAAAAGGAAAAAAAAGCCAAAGTGAATTTCTCTCACTCAGTTTGACTTGGAGATGGCGAGAGTAGCAGTCGGCAGCTTCTCGCAGCATGTCAGCGTGGTGTGTGAACGCCAAGCGGGCTTGTAGAGGCGAGCGGACTGGAGATGACTTGGTGTGAAGAGAAAAGGCGTGTGTGATGTGAGATTCGGAAGGCGCCGTAAGAGTGTGACTTCTCAGAGCGAGGGATATACAGCGTACGATGCCGCACATGGTGAGTGCCAAACGGCTGCTGCTGCTGCTTTTCCGTCCTCGGTCTTGCACGTGAGTGTTTGTGTGCATTTTACCGTTTGCGTGCCTTAATTAAGTTGTATGATATGTAGTATGCAGGGTCTGGAGGCTTTTGCACATGTGGATGTTATGCAACGACTACGGCTGAGAAACCTTGAGAGAGAATGCAAGAGTAATGAAAGTTCTCTGTGAATCTCATTTGGGATGCTGCAGATATTGTGTAATTGCATCCCGGAGATACATTTTGGGGCTAATTGGCTGTCGTGTATATATTCATTGACGTTTTATGTCCTAATATTAAAATATAGCGTAGTAGAATCCTTCCAGTAGCTCCTCTCTGTCTTCTGTATACAGTGCGTATTAATTAGATTCATCCTGGGCTATAGTGTAGCGTCTCAGATAGTCGACTCTTGATTGTTGCCCTGATTCTTCAGACTGTTTTAATCTGCTTTGGAGTGTTAGTGGTGCTTTTTTTTTTTTTTGGCGCACAGCTTCATTTTTCACTTTATACTCTGCAGGCTTACACCCGCTTTAGTAGAGGTGATGAATATTTTTAATCATAAGTCACAAAGGAAATTAAGAGTATTTGTGTGTGTGTGTGTATGTGTGTGTGTGTATCAGTGTGGGTAGGATATGCATTGGGTTTGTGCATGTGTCTGTGCTCGTTTCATAAAACAAGCACAGTGACATGTTTTATTTAAACATCAATGTTGGACCCAGTGATGTGTAAGTGTTGCTCTCAGGGACTGTGCAATATTATAACCATTACATTTGAACTTAAAATATGACGTAAGCCTCAGGATCTTATTTCCTGGGCGCTAATCTCCAAAGGAAAGGTCTTTGTTTCAGTCACTTTACAGCCCTTTCCCTGCTTTTTTTTTTGGTCCGCCCTATATTTAGCCTATACATCGCCCTGCACATGGTCCATTTGCTTGGCATGACAGTACAGAAATAAAACCTTCAAACACAGAAGGAGAGAGCAGCGACTTTAGCTTTCATCTCTTGACTGCATTATTAAACATCCCTATCCACATAAGTCTGACATCACCCAATCACAGCTGTCTCTTCCTCTACTTCCCCCTTCTCCCCGTTCCCTTGTCTCCCTCCATTAGGCAAACCTGAAGAAGTTTATGGAGTTTGCGCAGCAGAGGAACATCGAAAAGGTCTCAAGGTTCCTGGAAAAAGGTCTGGACCCTAACTTCCACGATCCAGACTCAGGAGGTGAGCAAATCCGTGCTAAGAAACATCCCATCTCTGTTCCATGCTGGTTAATTTATTGTCTTTTTCCAACCTTGACTTGTCTTTTCTTTTGTACTTTCTCTCACTTTCCTTCTGTCTTCACCGCAAATGACCATGTATGGATTTTCTGAAATAAGCCTTCTGCATGTTGGGTAAAGCTGGATTATTCTCTTTGCTAATCTCCTCATGTATATGCAAATGTTTGTCCAGCCATAAAGGAGATTTCTCTGCTGGGTGACCTGTAGTCTGGCAGATGAGCTGCGAAGCGAGGGGAGCATGAGAATAGTTTGGTTTAACACCGACAGGAAGCAGCCACTTAGGCAGGACGGAGGGCGACAATCACAGCAGCGAAGGCAGTCATCCAAATGCAGAGTCACTGTAAAATGCAAACCTGCGGATTTAATAACTGTAATGTGCAATTTCGTCGATTATTTTACAGCTTCAAATGTCAGACGTTCATTTTCTGAGAAGACGGTGCCATTTGAAACACGCTGATTTTTGATATCGTTTGCTTGCGTATCCTTGGGCTTCACAGAATGTCCTCTCACGCTGGCGGCACAGCTGGAGGGATGTGCGGAGCTCATCAAGGTGCTGAAGAGTGGAGGGGCGCATCTGGACTTCAGAACAAAAGATGGCATCACTGCCCTCCACAAGGCCGTGCGCAGCAAAAACCATACAGCTCTTATAGTGAGTAGAACACACGCGAGCTGACTCATCTCTTTCATTTCCTTTTGCTCAACGATTTCCCCGCTCGCAAAGTTTCCCCTCTGGAAAAGGAGAGGTTGACGGCTGGTAATCTCTGGCAGCAGGTGCTTGAGCAACTGAGTACAGAGGGTGCTTGAGCAATTACTAAATATGTGAGGCTTAACGTGCCCTCTTTGAATGGGCTGGCATAACCGCCGAATGGCCTTGTAACGTGTGTGGTTCGAGGAGGCTTGTAACCTAAATGAAAGGGTTTATGTGAGTCATTTAATTGATTCCCTGTTGAGCCAGAACTGTTGAAATTGGAATTTGTTATTTCTGCTCGGTTTCGTCATTGTCATCATCCAAATATTCAATGTCACCGGACCGTTAAACATACATAAGCTGTTGTCGCTGCCGATGTAGTGAGTCCAGTAAAGGTCACTCTCCTGTAATTTCCTCGAATAATCAAATCATGTACAATATTGCGAACGTGGCCTTATAGCACGGAGGGGCTCTAAACTTACATTCGTCGGTTTCATCAGTGCCGCCACTTTGCTTTGTTGAGGTTTATGGATTTTTTCTTTCTCGAGACAGCTTTTGTGATGTTTGGTGTTGATGCAGGTCTCTTTGACCTTCGCATACAAATTCACACTTCACCCTTCAAAAGATGATAAATACAGCCTGAGACTGAACATCATAAAACTTGCTTCTCTGCCCACCAGACGCTGTTGGACTTGGGTGCGTCTCCTGACTATAAGGACAGCAGGGGGCTAACTCCTCTCTACCACAGTTCGATGGTAGGAGGAGACCCCTACTGCTGCGAGCTGCTGCTGCACGATCACGCACAGGTCGGCTGTGTGGATGAGAACGGCTGGCAGGAGATACATCAGGTAATACGCAGTGACACACTCACTCACACCGTGCATCTTCCTGCCTCTCTTAGTTGACAGTTGTTGACAGAATGCATTCCCTAGCCCCTTACCCTGACAGAACCATCTACATTTCAAACCTTTACCCAACTTTAATTTAAGTACAGCGCTAACCATAACCTGAAAATCAAGTCTTTACCCTCAAATCACCTTTTGAAATTGCGAAAGCGTCCTCACTATGATTTCTGTGAGCTGCCTTGCTGAGCGATAGCCGGCCGGTCAGTGTGTGCAGCGCTCCGCTCTCTGCAGGTGAAGTCAACTGCTAATTTATTTTCCTCTAACAAGCACACTGCAGCTTTCATAGTGACAAACTGAGGCATGTCTTCAAACATAAGTGCTCTTGAACAGTCGTCCACAGAGTGTCCACAAAGCACAATACGGCATTATTTCACTACAAACTACAATTAGGGCAACGTTTTGCACATTCGACTTGGTAAAACATCTTAACCAATATGACAACTTCTTCAAAGAGTTGAGAAAGCTGCAGGTTAGCAGACGTTATGGATAGCGTGCGTGTTTCAGTGAGCGTTATTCTGCAGCTAGCAAACCTTTTTCACTATCAGAGTTTAACGAGGTAGTTAAGGACAATGTGGCAAACACCACACTGATAATGCAATATTTTACTCCTGTTGTGGTATAGATCTTTTTTTTTATCCTCCACTGCCCTGCATTAACATTACATTACTGCAGCTGTTTTCTTTGCAATTATTCAAAAAACACATTTTAGAATCCATCTCGTGTAGTCTAATGGTACACTACCTTTCCTGATGTTTGAGGTTTTTCTGTTTCAGTGTCAGTGTTGGTCTATTTTGACAGATACCATATTGAAGTCATATTTTTGATATGACTACGATGGTTTCTGACTAAAATTGTTCCACACATTGAGTCTGTAAATGGGAATAAACAGCTCAGACTGATCCACAAACCACTATGGTGTCCTGTGCACGTTTGCACTCTTGCACAGGTGGAGGGGGAGTGGAGATGGGAGGAAAAGGGGCATTAGGAGCAAGACAGAAGGCATAATGTTCAGGTTCTCTATTCAGACACGTAGAGTGTGGTTCTTATTACCTGACAGTTTCGGTGACAATGCTCAAAAGACCCGACCGCCCCGCCAGGCGCGCCGCACTCCCCCGCCGGTTACTTTTTCTGGAGCAGGGTCTGTTGGGCTCGCCACGACACACCATTTCGGTGTGGGTGTGGCTTGCCCGGCGGATCTGGCGGCTCTGCTGGGCGTGCCGCAGGTGCCGGCTGTCAAAATCTGCCGGCTGACACGTCACTCGCTGTCAGTGTCATGTCTGAAGAAGGTGAGCGTTGTCGCCGAAACTGTCAGGTAATTAGAACCACACTCTACATGTCTGAATAGAGAACCTGAACATTATATTATCACTAAGAAGACATGAAATGTTTTCGAGCTAAGACAGAAGGCAAATCTGGCACATGCTGCCTTTCTAAATGTGCCAACTAGCTAAATGTCTTTAACCCTAAAACAAAGTCTTAATCCTCAAACCGCCCTATGCAGGGGTGTGAGAAAGTTAGGACCGGCCTAAAGGTGCTCACGTTCCCAAAATGTCCTCACTCCAGCTGCTCAAAAGTCAAACTTATACAGAGACTTGGACACTCACATGCATACACAAAGATAATAACAGTGATGAGTTGTGTGCAGAATACAAATACAGGTACAGGGTAAAAAGTCTTGCCTGGTTTCATTGAATAGATTTTTTTTTTTCTCTCACTTTGAGGATTTCTTTTGTGCTCGCTGAACCCCTTTGGGGAGGTCATGTACTTACTGGAAGTCCAGGGTGGGAGGAAAATAATTTTCCTGTCCAAAAAAAATTGACCATTTTGGCAGATTTTTCAATCAGCTGAACTTTGAAGCATACTCTTGGAAAAAAAAACATATAAATATAACATGTGCTTTTTTAATTAATGCGGGTTGGCTTCTCCAATGAATTTTGTATGTGGAAAACTAGTCCTGATAAAGGGCCACTGTCACAGCCTCTCACAACGTCTCTTGTGTCAAACACTGAATAACTGAAGTAATTAAACTGGGTACAAGATCAAAAAGGCGTAGGATCTGTACATCGGTGGTTGAAGCAAGCTTGTCCAGCCACCTGCATAGATCACATTTTGGCAGAAGAGGTTTAAGTCTGCACTAAAGGGAAATCAGCAGCATCAAAATGAGCTGAGAACAGAAAAAGAATAACAGACATTTTGTTTCTGAAATGCTCAGGAATAACAGGAAAATGCACAGACCTGATCTTAAACAAGGTAATACAGATTCACTGCCTTTACTGTATGTGGACTAATCAAGCTTGCAGTCGTGCATGGCCAACCTCCATTATGAGCCAGGAAGAAGCCTCCAGGCATTTTCACCTCTCCCCCACACTTCAGTCCACACTTCAGCTGCACATTTACTGTTTTATAGAACAGAGAACTCCACAGTAGAGTTAAGATATGGGGGTAACGCTACACATTTTCTGTCTCCGGAGACATTTGTAGTGTTGACCTCAGCTGTTCACATGAAAAGTGCAACAGATAGTAAAAAAAAAAACAAAAGGATGCAATACGTGACTCCTCTGTCACCGATGGAGGTGTGAAGTGGGTGTAAATGTCAGACAGCATATAACGTAGCAAGAGGATGAAGATGAACATCCTGAGGTTTAATTACAACGTCTGCACTTGTGTGGACAATTTAGCACAGATCAACCCCAAAAGTGATCCTCCATCTTTAAAAAAAAAAAAAAGTCTATACTTCCTGCTAATCAGTTCGTATTTTCAATCAAGACTCATGGAAATTTTTTTATTTTTGCATTTATTGGGGTCAGTCCTTATATAAGCACATCAACCCCTCTTCCTCCTATTCAAGATAATCCGTCTGGCGTTGTGCAGAAAAGTATTTCAGAATACATGGTGCGCTAAGTGATCATATTTGTGTCCCTTCCTCCTGAAGCTGTCCACGGCGCTGATAGTTTTTTAATGACAGACGCACGGCTTCCGAAACACTCATAAACAAAACATAAGCTCAGTGAGTCTGATCACGGGCACGTAGACAAAGCAGAGGAATGCTTTTGTAAAAAAAGTAATGTGCTTTGCTTTATTTTGCAAGCGCCAGTATAAAAGCAAGAAAGTGTAAAATTGACAACCTGAAGTGCGTTAACACATTTCAGAATGGCAGCGCTATTCCTTTGGGGAGTGTGTGTGTGTGGATTGTTGGAAGTTTGTTCAATTTCCACTTTGCCCTTCTTTGTTCTGCACAACCTCAGACGACAGCCCTCAGGTATCAGAGCTGTGAGAGGAATCCGCCGTGCCGAGATCTCACGCCGGAGACTTTCATGCAGCAGCCGAATGACACAGAAGCCCTTTTAACGCAACCCGTATTCACAATTTAGCTCGCATTTACATATTTATCTGATTCCGTCGTTGCACGTATTGTATATTGATTCAGTCGTGGCTCATAAACACTACCTGTTAACCAGCAATTTACAAAGCCGCTGTTTCGCTCTGGACAGAGGTGTGAAACAGACAGAAAAATACGCTTTTGCAAATTTTTCCCACCCTAATGCGGACACGCTCTCAGCGTGGCAATTTAAATTGTGGCAGCTGGAAGACCTGATAGAATGACCCACCGATGGCCAATTAAGTGCAAACAAAAGTACTTCATCCCTTTTGTTTATGTAACTCCTCTGGATATCACACAAGCCCAGACATCATTAACATTGTTTTGTAAATGGTCGATGAAATTTATCTGCACACAATACTTTTTTACTGCTTTGCAGATTGTCATGATTTAAAACGTCTGGCTCCATAAATGATGCACCTCAATCTGCTTTATTATTGCCAGACGTGTCCAAATTGTGGTCGATTTGGATGAAGATGTCAATACAATTTTGTTATATTTAGAAAAAAATAAACATTGCGGCTGGTTCTGCTCATCCTCTCCGTATACGAGGTGTGGCAGAAAAGTGTCAGGACTGGTGTCACAAAAGATATATTTCAAATCCAAGTTTTCCCCTTCGAAGTAATCCCCTTGGAGTCTAACACACTTTCCCAGCCTTCTCTGACACGTCGCCATGCACTCCTGGAAGGATTCTTCCTCCACAGCTCCGTCATCAAAGCCATCTTGAGTTGTCCACGTCTTCAAAACGGGTCCCCTTGATGACCCCCTTGAGCTTGGGGAAGAGGAAGAAATCCCACGGAGCCAGGTGGGGTGAGTAGGGAGGTTGCTCCAGCACAAAGATGTTCTTCTCAGCCAGGAACTGTCGGATACTCAGGGTGTTGTGAGCAGGCGCGTTGTCATGGTGAAGCAGCCACGACTTGTCCTGCCACAACTCTCACCTCTTCTCGCGCACTGAACGAAGCAAACACAGCAGGATCTCTTTGTAGCAGTGCTGGTTGATGGTCTGAAGGGGAGAACTCGTAGTTTGTAGTTTGTGTTTGAAATCTATCTTTTGCGACACCAGTCCTGGAACTTTTCTGAGACACCTCGTATAAAAAACCTGAATAAAGGCCGTACATCCTTTTCCATTCAACAGCAACATCACTTAACATAGCCTTATTTAAAACCAAGCTCTAAACACAATGAGGTTTTAAGTAAGATTTTCTCAGTTCTTCAGATGATCTAGCAAATGGCAACACATGAAGCTGTGTTTGTGTGATTTGTCAACACATTAAACTTTCTTCAGTTCAGCTGTGCTGCTGGACGGCTGCTTTGTCTCCAGTGGTTTTAACCTGTGAAACTAAATCTGTCACCTCACCTGTTTGCTGTGCAGAGAAGCATTTGGGTTAATACATTCTCTGTGTGTGTGTTTGTGTGTGTGTGTGTGTGGTCGCACATGTATTTGGGTTAATTCATACACTGTGCGACCACAATGGCGCATCAGAAAATTTTAATTCTTATTAATTTACCACTGCTGTGGCAACAGTGTAAGTCCTGCACAGGCTCTCCTGCAATTTGGAGATGG